TGTGTCTGGCAGCACTAGCCTTACCAATGTCAATATCCATAAAGGACACGTACTCAAATATCGACTACTTGAGGAACTTCAAATCTTCCTAGCAGGACGACCAGATGGAGCAAGGCAAGATGTCTTGACTTGCCCCCAGGAAGCGAACAAGTATTGGATGGAACGCACAATCTTGTCAGCATCCTGCAAAGAAAATTGCCAATATTGAAAATTCTCACTACAACGAACAAAATGGAAATAAAAGTGAAGCAAAGATTATCTCATCAATAATCGTGGAAGATGGCATATCCTCGGCCAAGTCTGCCACCTGTGACTCCACCATTCGTGAGGACTTCCCCTTATCTGAGCGAGAAGATGTTGCCATAACGGGCAGACTCATAGGAGCATCTGCAAAACTCAAAAGCAACAAATCAGAAACCAATAGCACAAGCAAAGTTACAGCATCAAAAAACTGAATTACCTTCTGCTTCGATGTTTGGAGGGTTGACGCCCTGGGAAGAAGGTGGCTCATCCATTGGCTGTGATGAGGATTCTGGGACTGAAGATGTCTCTTTAAGCGTAATCCCTTCATCAGCTGGTTTGGATGAAGCAGCCTCAGCGGAGGATGATGGAGCAGGAGCTGCTGATACCAAAGCCTTTAAAGGAAAAGCTGAACTTTTCTGAGAAGTCCAAATAAATCATCAGCACATAGAAAAGTTTCAAGTATGGAAAAGTATGCTTGTGAGTAAACCAATTTAATTACCTTCCTCCTGATGATAAGAGGGATATCATCATCATCATCAACATCATCCTCCAGAATGGGAAATACTGAGGTTGGCTATTTGCGGCTTGGGGCACTCTTGGCTGCAGTAGACTTGGCAGGGAGAGAAGAAGATGGACGAGCAGACTGTTTAGCACGACGAGGAGGAGAAGGATTCTGGATGGACAAAGGAGTGACTAAAACAGGAGGAGGGGAAGAAATGCTCGGCTGGTCCAGTGAATGAAAGGCACGATTGACATCAATCGCAAACAATCTGCGCTTCACTGACGGCCAGAGCTGTTCAAAAAGGGGATGGATGGCGTGGCTAGAATTGAAGGGGGCTAATGAAAAATAGCTTGTTAAGAGAAGATTGCGAGCATTTATAACCTCTGCCTCCACCTTATTAATAATATGGAAGCGGTCAATCAAGTACCTTGAATAGCAAGGAGGAATAGGTCAAGTTTGGCCGAAACCAAGTTGGCGAGCAAAAAATTGGGGAGCATATATTTCTACCCTTGCCATAACTCCCTCCCGGTTAAAAACTGAATCCAAATGAGCAGAGAGGTGCTTGCGCTATCTATAGTGGAGGGAGGATGCACATAGTTTGGAGTCAAAAAGGGAGGAAAAGGAAAGAAGGAATGGATTGAATCCAAAGAATGAAAAAATGTCTCTTCTAGACATATTTACAGGAGCCAAGGGCTCAATGGCTAGCCCATAGCAGCTAGCAGAAGAACGAAATTGATGGAGCACCAAGCAATGGAAAATAGGATCTCAACCACATTTAAGTGAACCAAAGAGATCCACTACCAGTGTGAGATGCATCATTCTTCAATTGAATTTGAAGAGAAGCCATGCCTCTATAAAGGGCAGCCAAAAAGAAAGAACATAAATTCAAAGGTCTGCCACGCGCCAATTCGTGCGCTATGGGTAAATAACTCAGGAAGGGCTTTATGCTTGGCACACACAAAACATATTTACAAAGCCAAACCAGAAGAAAGGTCACTCGCTCAGTATGGAAAGGCTCAGCGCTCGAATGGTTATGAAGGGTTTGCAGGCTTGAATAAGGCTCGGTAAGGTTTCTACCAAACTTTGGGGCGCCACCAGAAACCAAGATACCAGGAAAAATGGTATCGCCCGAAGGTGACAGATTCACTAGGGCCCCAGCATTCCTTAAAGTAATAGACATGGGGCCAAGAGGGAAAATAAAGGTATTATACTCAGAAGAACAAAAACTCAAAGCGATCGAAAAAAGTACTGAATCAAAAGTAGGGGGTTGAAGAGAGATTTCTAACAAATCAGAAATCCTAGCATTATCAAAAAGTGTCTTAGTAAGACCATGGTCCACAAGGCGAGCATGCCACCTACGAAAAACTACATCAGATTTAGGCCAAATGCGAATACCTCTTTCGCGAAGTGGCCCCAGCGGCAGAGAGTTTAGAAATGGAGGGCCTTGAGTACAAGGAAACAGTTGGCCCACCGCCGCCTGTTCGACTGCCTCTACATTGTTGAAGAAAGGACCTAGGTAGAACTCATTGAGTTCGACATTGGCAGGCGCGAGAAAGTTCGGAGTTATGTATGGACGATTCAGAAGTTTCTAAAAGTCATCAAAACTAAAGGAGTCGCCAGATTGAGATTGTGAAGTAGCCATTAGGGATGAAACAGAGTTTTTTCAGAGTTACGTAGCAGGGAAGCAAAAAGATGAACAATAAATCGTGGGAGAGAAACGTGAAAAAGTGAGGCGTGATTTAATGGTGCAGTGAAATGGTGTGTTTGGGGGGTTATAAGGGTTTGCAGAAACGTCGCACCTTTTCAAGCTATGGAAGAAAACAATGATTGAAATTTTTGAGAATTTCGAATGTTGCTGGAAACACAAAGTGAATATGGCAAAATTTAATAATTGGTATTAATTCTGTCATATTGGGGGCTAATTGTTGACACATAAAAATTCAGCCCAAATCAAACGGCCCAAAGAATGAAACCCAATTGGAGGATCCCCAAATCAGATAGCCCAAAGAACGAATCCCAATCAGACAATTCAAGATGAAGGCCTAAATAGGGAGGCCCTAGAACGCGGTAACACCATCGCCCAAGTTTGCAAGTCTCCCAGAATTTGAGCGAATGGAGTGCCATGCAGTCGCCCAGAGCTGTCACTCTATTCTCACCCAAACTTTCGAGTTGCCCCAAAGTCTTAGCAAACATGAAGTGTTGTGGTTATCAAGAAGTGCAGTTATCAAAGCAGTTATTAAAGCAGCCCTATCACGTTTCACAATTCAAGGAACTTAATCGAAGATGGTTGAACGACAAAGGGTAATGACAGCAGTTAGAAAAGGTAGTTCCGTAACAAGTTAGCCATTACGATGAAAGTGGGCAGTTATAGAACGATCCAACAGTTTTTAGGCGGTTGATCACAAAGAGAACATCCAGGGAATATAAAAGGAAGGACATAGAGGAAGAGGACCAAATCAAAAACTCTCAAACAAAGAACATGTAACTTTAAATTTCTTAACTTAGATTTAAACACTTCTTTCAGTAACTCGTGTGCTTGCGCCCCTTGGAAGCATTCTGTTTTTAATTTCCGATTGTAAAGTCACTGCCAATAAAGAACACCCCTTTTTGGGAATTTGTCTCAAGAGGTTTGTCCCTTACACAATCGTCTGATCCCTTTTAATTGTTTACGACTAACCTGAGCGAAACAGTTTGTATTCTAATTTCTTTTGTGTTGACTTGTTGAAAAGAAAGCATTTACTTTTAAGTGAAAGCTTATGTATGGCCAACTTATTTCTTGTCCACATTTGGCACATAGGATGTCGAAAAATGTTCACTTGTGCCCTATATATAAATGCATCGATCTTCATATGTTTCGCCTCAAATATACACACTCTACTATCTCTCTAATTGTGTGCTTCTTTTGATCAATGGCTCTTGTACTTAAAAACGTGTTTTTCCTTGTCGCAATTATGATATTTGAGTCAGTTGAAGGTGCTAGACATAGGTCTAATGAAAAAAAAAAAAAGGTAGTTTCGAAGGTGCTAAGGATGTTGTGACTGAGCTGCCGGGTCAGCCCCGTGTAAAATTTGAGCATTATGCTGGTTTACGTCACTGTAAAAGAGAAAAATGGAAGAGCTCTCTTTTACCGGTTTTATGAAGCCACAACTCACCAAAATGAGAAACCTTTGGTGCTATGGCTCAATGGAGGTAATCAAACTTAATTTTGAATTTGATTTAGTTAATCATTCGATTAATTATAGACACTTGATTATACTAACGGATTTGCTAAAGTGTCAGACAAAATAATATTCAACATAAAAGCCAACAAGGATTAATTATTAAAACAATAATCAACATAATGTCGAGGTTCTTGGTTGAACCAAAACCTCAAAATCATTTGTCCTTTCTAGGGTTTAGGGGTCTAAACACGTTTGATATGTTATGCTGGACTAAACAAATTTATGTCACGTCCCGTATGGAAGATGCCCATTCTTCACTTCCATATTACCATGCGCGGTCACCCTAATTCTAGTATCAAGCTTTTTGACCAACCTCCTATCCGTTCATCAGCACAAAAAGTGTAAAGTGTCCTTGTAAACATTTGTTGAAATAAAATTATGATTCAATAGACAACATGATTCGAAAAGATTAATGTTTTTTGATCTTCTAATAATTTTTGTAATTGTTAAATGTCACGCAGGAAAAAGAAACATAGTAGAGTGGGATGGTATTAATGTATTAAGACCATTTCTCGTTTTTGAATTCTTGTGTTTCCTAGAAATGAAGGATAAATAATTAAACTCATGTGTTGACTTTATTTCTTGTGTTGTTAATTTCTTGTCTTACTCTTTCGAGCATTTGAAACATGACATGTACAAAAGTCATGCCCTGAGCATGCAAATAAGCAGTGTCTGTGACACGCACTTCAGCTGTGCCTCGAACGTGCACCTAAGTCACGTCCCCCATGGTAATGGATGCAGATGATGCTAAAAATGGCATGACATGCCTACAGACCTTAAGCATTACTCTCGATCAACCAATTTGATTCTAATGAAATAAGGTAAAATTGGGATTGATCAAGTCCTAGGCCAATTATTGTTTCTTATTCCAATCCAACTAAGGATGATTCTCTATTCTAGTGAAAATCTGGCTCTTTTCCATATACTAGTCTTTTGTCCGTGTAATGCACGGACTATGTTATTTTTAAGGTAATATTAGCGTGTTGAAATAACTTCAACAATTATGTGATCAATTCTAAGTAGTAAAGATAGTATTGAGAGTTAAAGGACCTGGAATGGTAGCATGACTTCTCTATTTCTTTGATAATGAATGTTCTTGCTCTTTTTGTGGGGACCTGAATTATTGGGCCTAGAGGGACTTGAAAGCATAAAGCCTAACAAATGTCAACCTTCAAAAATAGCTTTTACCTAGAAAAACAAAGTATGAACTATCCTAAAGGATTCAATATTTCATACCCCATTCTATTTAACAATGAAATTCAACCTTTCTCGTTAAAAGAAACCAAAGGAGGCCCTCAGACATTGGTTCTGCACCAAGCTTTGCTGCAGGTAATACCTTCTCGTATTCAGGAATAGACAAACCTCGGAAGCGAATTCCCTAAGAGAAATTTGAGGAAACAATGAAAAAATAGAAAGTAAATATTGCACAAACTTAGTTTTTAGACACTTGCCGCAATTATTCATGACACGTGTATCTATTAACTGCACAATTATCTTATCAAAAGTTCAAAGTGACACAAGGGATGCGTACCTCTTATGGATCAAGTAATGAGTTTTCCTAATAATTGTGTCATTCTTCTCATTCCACCAAGAACCTTTCAGAAAGCACAAACGCAAAGCAATCAATGCCTCCATTATCTATTTTTGTTAAATACATGACAAAAGTGCAAGCATATTTCAATTATCCATTTTACTAGCTAGAGTAGAGTGAAAACAGGAGAAAGTATACCATATCAACAGTTATATTCCCCAACTAAACCTTTCCATTGATATCAAGATCAATTGTGAAGCAAACTAATGGCTAAATATTAAATGAAAAACGCATTTGAGAAAAAAACTGAAGAAGATATGAGTAGAAAACAAAATGCTATATGAAGCAAAACTTTTACGGCAAATCTAAGTTTATGACGCCAAATCTCAACATCATAAGCTTAAACAAATTATGAAATAAAACTGAATAAGATCAATAGAAAGACGTTCTACATTTCAAATGCAACAAATGAACAAAGATGTGCATACAAAATGTCATAGCGAAATAAAAAATCGATGGGAAAGAATTGCCACAAGTTGAAGATTCAAATGTACACAATGAAAGAATCTTTTGACGATAAGTCGTTATGCCCTTGTCACTTTGTGCGTGTATTGTATTGGAGTAATTTATTTAGTCCATGAAATCAACTTTTACACTCCAGTGCTATAATATGTTGGTATACTTGTTTTAAGAAGTCAGAATTTTCTAGGTTAAAAATAATGTCTTCTTATGGAATGTTAAAATAGAATTAATTTTCGTAATTCACATATAAAAAGGAATAAATAAAATTGATAGGATAGTATAAAATAAAATCTTGCACGTATTTTTGTTATAATGTACATTGCACTTGGACTTATCTTTCTCCACCTCTTCCTCTCAAGATCTCTTTAAGCACTTCAAATTTCTTCAGGATCTTGAAATAATCATGGCTGTTTTTGTGTTATTTTTGGTGTTTCTCTTCACCATCATTGGCCATTCCGGTAAGATTCCTTTTTGGTTTATTATTTTTATAATATCTTTAAAAACTAAAAATAAAAATAAAAATAAAACCACTTTTGGATATGGTTTTTTGTCATTTTTTTCTGAAAGTCCCTCCATTTTCCCCCCTTTGTTATTAAAGATTTTAAAAAGGTTGATCCTTGTGTGAAAGATTAAGGCTTATGATTTCAGTTTATTGAGAAAGATAGATTTTTTTTAATTATTTGAGTATTTTTGCCTTCTTTATCCCCCACCCACCCACCTACCTTACCAATATTTTATTTTATTTTATTTATTTGCATATGCTTCTTAAACAACTACAATTCTTCTATTCCTAATCCTCACTAAACATACAAAAAGAAAACTTTTCAACTAGACAGATGTCAAATAGGAAAACCTACAAAGTCTTTAGTTTTCGTAAATTTCAAAAAATTGGGGGAAAATGCAATACTAAAATGGAATTCGAAACATCGCCATTTATAAAAATTCCAACTACATAATTCATAAATCCCTATATTTACCAAAAAAATAAGAGGAAATTTCCAAGTGACCATTGTCAAAAACAAAAACAAAAAACCCAATTTCTCTAAATCTACATATGAAACAAAAAACAAATGAAATCGTACAGACAAGAAAAAAATGCCAAACCTTTTCAAGAATCTCTCTCTCTAAAAGAAGTTGAAGAAGAAGGTGTCTACTCGCAAATTGAAAGGTAAGGGTTTGCTTTTGTTTGGAGAAGAAAGAGAAATAGATGTGGTGGTTACAAGGAGTTGTGGTACTTGAGATATTCGGTGAAAAGGAGAGGGATATTTATTGGTGAATAGTATTGAATCAGTTTATGAATAGTATACAGCTAGTTGAAGCGTGAAAGGAGTGTGCACAAATGAATACTGATTTGGCTATCCTCTCTTTTAAAAGAGTAGTGATAGTGAAATACGACGATCATCCCTTCATTAAAGGTATGCAACAATTCTTTTTACATTCTACGGTAATCTGCGGTTTGATGAGACATTCCATTGTTGCGAGAAGATCAAGCCTATCCTAAGGCATGCTCAATGTTTGAAGGTGCAACTTTTGACATCAACATCAACAAATTACCTTCGACCAGTGACACTGTATGTCACCTCTTTATAGGCTGTATAAAGCAATTCGACTCTAATTGAGCAATGGTGGTACGAATAGAATTGTAAAGATACCTTTGGTTGAGCAAGTAGCCCACTCCATCCTTGGCAGAGGTGTTAGAGGTTGAGTAGGTTTTTCCTTTGAAAAAATGGCTTGCACAAACCAACAATCACAAACACGAAGCATCAATTACAAACACAAGTGTGTGTGTGTATAGAGAGAGAGAGAGAGAGAGAGAGAAATGTATAATGTTATGAATAGAATATGTTATACCCCTATCTGAACCGCCTCGGAACGCCCACCACCACACATTCCGACCTGATAGACACCCGTCCGAAGTGTTTCCGAAGTGATATCACCAATGTCAATAACTTAGTAGCACACTGCCAGGTATAGGCGATCCTACTGAATTGACCGAAGCTCCTCGCTTTCGAGGCCGAGGCCAAGTGGACCCCTGTTAGAAGATTCGCCGCCAATTTCAGAAAGAGATTTGTGTCAAGATCCTCTCTCCACCTAAGGTTTAAATTGATTTGACATTTCCATGAGGCTAGTTGATGTGACTTATCAACTTTATGTCAATTCAACTCAGGAGAAACAAGATGTCCTCCCACTCTATAGACGTGGCTGATTGACGCCTACGAGCGAATGCCTCATACCGTCAGATGTCTACACGTGTCCCACATCCAACGGCTCATCCCACCTATAAATACACAAGGTTTGGTAAGAGGTAAAGGTAATGAAACTCTTACTATATAGCACTCCATAGCAAGTTTATATATTTTCTCCTCCCCCTTATTATTATTTTACACAACCCCTGTGTACTGTTCCGACTACCTAAACCTGACTTGACCGTCAGAGTGTATACGGTCGCCGCCACCCCGCTGGTTCCAGCCGTGTGCGTTTGACCCTGCGTTGATTGTGCGCAAGGAGGAATACGTGGAGTAGCTATCAGTTGGCCACATATAAGGTCCAATTTTCGAGGTCAACAGATTGGCGTCGTCTGCGGGAAAACTTCCCGTTCAAAGTTTTGCATTCTCCACCGGAGAAGTTACCGGAAAACTAGCGACTAACTCTGAAAAGAGAACGTTCTTGAAAAAGAACAAAGTCGAGTTACAATCCAAGTTCTCACCACCCTTGAAAAATGAGATAGGATGAGCTATAGTCATGAAGACGACAACTCCATAAGAGAGGCCTCTGAAGAAGAGGTACTCCATAACAATGTTACTCCTCAGAGACCACATCACCGGCATCGCCGAGGTGAAAGAACAGCTATACTCACTGGAGGAATGGCTCATACATCGCAACTCAGAATATGGCAAAGCATGAACTCCTCATGCAAGCCCAGGGTCATCAGGGCTATCAAATGCTCCAAGGATCTTATCCGGTGCAGGAAACCCCTGTATCTCACTCCTGAGATCACATGAGCCGGCACATAGAACACCCCCTCGAAAGAGAGATGAACACCGAAGCCACATCTTATGTGCAAGATAGCCAACCATTAGAACCACACTTGGGGGACAATTTCCCTCAAGAATACGGGGAACAAAGGTCGGCAAGCATCTTCGACCGAATAGGGTAGGACCCTAGCAATAGGGTCCGTCCGATAAGAAGATCGGTTCGTCCAGCTCGGGAACAAGAGTAGGCTCCTCCTCCTCCTAGAAATAGGAAGGACATGAGGAACCTAGTCGATTGAGGAAGTCGAGGAGAAGCACCTCCACCTCTCCAGAACATTCAAGATGATGAAGGGTCAGATGGGCCCTGTCGATCTTATGAGATTGACGATGATGATGATAACCTCCCTTTCTCAAGGGAGATCCGAAGCTTCCCAATACCAGCAAATTTCATGCTCCCTAAGATCCCCAAGTATGAAGGAAATGGGGATCCGGAGAAGCATCTCACCAAGTACAAGACACAGATGAGCCTAAGGGGAGCTTCGCCCGCTTTGAAATGCAGAGTCTTCCATTTAACACTAAGCAGAGCCGCTGAAGTGTGGTACAGCAGGGTTTCTCCCCTAAGCATTAGAAGTTGGCCAGATTTGAAGAAAGCATTTTTGAACCAGTACCTCTCACGCAGGGAAGGAGAGGCACCAGTGCAACGCCTACAAGATATGAGGCAGACCCCTGGGGAGATGCTGAAAAGCTATCTCGCCAGGTTTACAGACGAAATCACCTACTACGAACAGGTTAACAGAGAAGCCCTTTCAGCCCTGAAAGGCGGGTTCAACATGAACACTTTGTTCTGGAGAGACGTTCGCAGCAAGAATCCCTCCACATATGACGAGCTGGTGGAAATGATGAGAGTAGAAATTGTGAGTGAAGAAATGATTGATCATCGCAACCGTGCCGCACAGGGACTCCCTCCACCTCAGAGGCAGGTAGATCAAGGACCCACGCACACCATGTTACTAAGCAATGGACCCAAGTAGGTCATACAATAGCTCCTACGTCCGAACAGGCCCTGGCTTCCGTCACATTGAATGCAGTACTGATGTTGGCATATGAGAATACCCCTGTCAAAGCGGGACCATCTGAAAGAGCTGATAAGAAGAAGAAGAAGAAAAGGGCAAACAGACCCTTGGAAGGGGTAAGGATTTGTACGTTCCATCAACTCTATGGGCATGACACTAGTGAGTGCTGAGACGCCAATCGACGCCCTGATCGAAACAACCCACACCCTTCCAGCAGGAACGAATATCCTCGCAGATCCGCCTCCCCGAGGAGGGGAGAGAGAGGGCACAGAGAACAATCGCCTCGAAGAAGAGAATCAAGGGACCGAGGTCAATCTAAACAGGGAAACCAAGCCCAATTTAGTGGGAGCCAGGTTATCAGGGAAATTGATACTATCATTGGGGGACCCCACGTTGGTGGCAACACTAGGAATACCCAAAGAAATTACACAAGGGAAGCAAAGGACCTACCAATGATCACTTACATTGTCAACGAGTCGCAAGCAGCCGATAGGATGGCCCCAATCACCTTCTCCCAGGAAGATGCAAAGGGAGTTCACCACCCCCATTGTGATGCATTGGTTGTAAGAGTCTTAGTGGCTAGGAACGGACTGAAACGCATGCTCGTCGACAATGGCAGTTCCGTGAACATATTGTTCGGCTCCACTTTTGACAAAATGTAAATTGAACATGGGTTGATCCCCATGACCGACCCACTATTCAAATTCACTGGGGACAGCATCATCCCACGAAGGTGGATCACTCTACCCGTCGAGATGGGTTCGGCACCCCTAGTGGCCCAGCACTTCATGGAATTTTTGGTGGTAGATCACAAATCGGCTTATCATGGAGTATTGGGCAGACCCGCTTTGAAGGATTTTTGGGCTGTCACATCCATCCACTACTTGTACATGAAATTTCCAACCTAACATGGGATTGCTATGGTCCAAGGCGATCAGATGGGCTCCAGGGCATGCTACTTAAACTCACTGCGAAAGTCCGAACCCCGAACTGTTAATGTAATCCTAACTGAGGTTCCCGCTGAAATCAGTACGGACATGAAAATGCTCGATACCCCTGAACAATGGCACACCTCTGAACAAGAGGAAGACGTCGACATGGAAGAGGTCCTTGAACAAGGACACCCTCTTGATGAGTTAGATCCCCGAATAATTGACTTCGAACCACATGTGACCGCAATGGAAGAATTGGAGACTTTCCCCGTCAATCCAGAAGACCTCAGTCAGGTCTTGCGTATAGGAAAGTCAATTTCCCCTGAAGCGAAAGTAGAGATGATAAGCTTCCTAAAAAGGAACTTGGATGTCTTCGCATGGAAGCATGAAGATATGGTGAGAATAGATCCTAGGATCAGCTGCCATCACCTTAACATCAACCCCTCCTATGCCCCCATAGACAGAAGAGACGTGCCCTCAATTCGGAAAGGTACGAGGCACTGAAAGACGAAGGGAACAAACTCAGCCACAGTGGTTTCATAAGGGAGGCCATCTACCCGAAGTGGATATCCAACTCGATCCTGGTGAAAAAGCCCAGGGAAAAGTGGAGGGTATGCGTAGACTTCACGAACTTAAATAAGACATGCCCCAAAGACAACTTCCCACTTCCAAAAATAGATCAACTTGTGGATTTTACTGTTGGACATGAACTACTGAGCTTCATGGATGCATACTCAGGGTATAACCAGATACCCATGTTCCGACCTGATGAGGAAGCTACATCGTTTATTATGGACAGAGATCTGTATTGCTACAAAGTCATGCCCTTCGGATTGAAGAATGTCGGAGCTACATATCAGAGATTGGTCAACATGATGTTTGTTGAACTCATTGGCAAAATCATGGAGGTCTACATGGACGACATGCTAGTCAAAACCCTCCAGGCAGCTGAACACGTAAGTCACCTCGACCAAACTTTTTAGATACTTAGAAAGTATAATATGAAATTGAATCTCCTCAAGTGCACCTTTGGAGTGGTATCGGGTCAGTTCTTGGGGTATATTGTCAATCAAAGAGGAATTGAGGAAAATCCAGTGAAAGTAATGGCCTTGCTAGAGATGAGGTCACCTCAGAAACCAAAAGAGGTACAAAGCCTCAACGATCGGATAGTCGCACTCAGTCGCTTCATCTCCAGGGTCACAGATAAAAGCTTACCTTTCTTCAATGTGCTGAAACAATGAAAGAAATTCCAATGGACTTCGGAGTGTGAAGAAGCCTTCGAGGCTCTGAAAAAGTACCTCGGAGAGGCGCCCCTCTTGTTGAAACCTCAACCGGATAAGTCTCTACTACTTTACTTAGCGGTTTCGGACGTGGCGGTCAGCGCCGTCCTAGTTAGAGAAGAAAGCAAGCGCCAGTTGCCAGTGTACTAAATCAGCAAAGCACTTCTTCTAGCCGAAACACGCTACCCAGACATGGAGAAGCTGACACTTGCCCTTATCACAGCCTCAAGAAAACTAAGGCCATACTTCCAGGTCCACTCAATACAAGTTCTCACCAACTTCC